ATCCGTATTAATAAAAAATAACACGTGCGAAAAGATCACAGCTTTATTGTTTTGTCTTGAGCTTTCGGAAGTCCTTATCAGTGAGACAAATAGAATTATCTGTACCAGTAATAATACATTGTTGTTCTTTCTTTCACAATACACACACACACTTAACAAAACAAAAAGTAAAACCCTTTAATTTTTAATGGGCCCTTTTTATATTGTTCTTGAACTCGTTTTCTACGAAATCCAAGCTAATCTAATATATGTACAGAATGGTGTTTTTAAGTACTTTAGTTTAAATTAAAAATGGACCATAAAAATACAGACCTATGAAGATGGTTTAAATTAAAAAGTATGTCAATTGACTGATGGTGGTGTCAACTATCTTTTAAGATTGCAATTGGAATGAGAAGTAAAAAAAGTAAATTCCAAGTTTGTATTGAGCATCTTGTATTATTTATTAGACAAGTTTCTTGACACAAGTGACAGTGGGCGGGGCAATAAGTTTTGAGTAGTAACGACGCGACGGTCCGGAAGCCGCGTTGTAGACAAGTCTCCCGCTCGGTGGACCGACGATCTAGGAAAGTCTAGATGTGGGCAGCACAGGGATGGTCATTGTGGAAATATTTGAGAGGTTTTCCAGCAGCGGTTTTTCTTTGGTTGAAAAAGCGCTAGCTAGCGCTAGTAAGTAAAAGGGACACATTTTTAGCGGTAAGTGCTGTCACTGTCAAAAAAATGTACGGGAAAACGTCACTTTTGAAGTTTAGCAAACGTGTCCTAGCCGTAACATGCTAGTTTCGGCGGTTGCCACGGCGATCGCCATTTTGCTAACAATTTCTACAGCCAATATATTGTTGCTAATCTAGCTAGAGCAAACGTGGTCGCCCCAAGCAAACTTGGCGGCGCACTGTGGCAGACGAGGCGAAGAAGATCGGCAAGACTTGGAGCGAGATCAAACACATAGCTCAAGACCGAACGCGATGGAGGACTGTTGTGGACGCCCTCTGCCCCATCCAGGGGGCATAGGACCATAAGTCAAGTAAGTCAATCTAGCTGCTAGATAAATAAATAAATAAACAAACTCACCCTACAGTAGAACGGCTGCGGCACTGGCCCGTAATGCTGTATACAGGCCGGGTGGTAGAGGCACAGGCACGCGGCGCACGCTAGGGACGGCACGCCGCGCCCGCACGTCAGCGAACACGGTTGTATGACTTGTCGCGCTGGAGGCCTCTCCTGATACACGACATATCTTAAGTCTATAGGGTTTTGTCTAATATATTGTCACCATAATTTGAACCTTATTCATTTGTTTTTAAGGTCGAAAAGCAATAAAAAGAGGCAGAGGCACGCCGCGCCCGCACGTCAGGGAACAAGGCTGGATCACTTGTCTCGCTGGGGGCCGCTCCTGCGCACGTTTTTATACGACAACCTTACAGTAAGTGGGTAGGGTTCAAATTATGGTGGCAATATATGGAACAGAGCTCTATAGAGCGTATCTTAATGCAACCGAACCTACAGCTAGGTAGCGCTAGCTAGCTAGGGATACTCAAAGAATATGTACAGGCCGCATTTAAGAACGCTGCGCGGCCCTGCCCTACAACCAACCTACAACTCTTACAAGTCACTTGTTGCAACTACGCTTGGTGCAGCGCCACCTAAAAGCGACATTTCGTATGGTCTGACGTGCAAAATATAGGTAATTTTTTTAAGCTTTGTTTTGTTCGTTTGGCCTAATGCAGGACCGGTCGTTGTGAAAATCCTTGGGGGCGGCGTTGTTCCAGCATTTGGCTTCTAATGCTATTACTAATGCTGTATACAGGCCGGGTGGTAGAGGCACAGGCACGCGGCGCACGCTAGCGACGGCACGCCGCGCCCACACGTCAGCGAACAAGGTTGTATCACTTGTCGCGCTGGAGGCCGCTCCTACGCACGTGGGTTTTATACAACATATCTTAAGCCTATCTTATGTATATTGCCACCATAATTAATCACTTGTTTTTAAGGCGAAAAGCAAGGAAAAGAGGCAGAGGCACGCCGCGCGCTAGTCACTAGATTGGATGTGGATATACGACACAATATTCTCTGTGTGCGACTTTCGAAAAGCAATAAAAGGAGGTAAAGGCACGCCGCGCGCAAGTCAAGGAATAAGGTTGGATGACTTGTCTCGCCGGAGGCCGCTCCTGCGTACGTGGTGATTAAGTATACGACAATACCCACTATAGAGCATAGCAGGTTTTCGACCTTTCTTTAAATTGATAGGGGTCATTATGGGGGCATTATAGAGCCCTACGGGATTAATATGGTAACGCAGTAAATGTAACGTGGCAGCTCTCGGTCTGAGTTAATATCAGGCCGTATGAGGAAACGAGCTTCACCCTCAACCACCAGTACTCTATCTACATCCAACTACCGAAACTCAAAATGCTGTTAACATTTTTGTTATGGCGACAACTTTGAAGTAAGGTTGTGGTAGCTAGTCAGTCAGGCAGATAGAGAAGTCCTACCAAATAGAGCAAAAAATGTATGTAAAAAATCTACTAAAAATATCTAGACACGCGGCAGCGTATCAAGCCATTGGACTTAAAATTGTTGTGCCATTGGAGTGTACACGGCACGATTTTAATTTAGTATGCATAATGTGTGCTTAACAATAAACGAATTGCTCTTTTGTTATTTATTTAAGAAGATATTACACCAATTTAAATAGAGATATTTATTAGCCGCAACGCGGTTTAGACACGCGGTAGCATGTCCAGTAGGCCTAAGATGCGCGCCACGATAAGCGGTTATCACGCCATTTTATCGATTTTGCCCATACATTTTGACGTCGATAAAAGTTATCACGGCGCGCATCTTAGGCCTACTGTAGTAAGTATTTGTATTTCGACCCTAACCTGTTTTGTTCGTCTACACTAATATTATAAAGAGGAAAACTTTGTTTGTTTGTTTGGTTGTAATGAATATTCTCAAAAACTACTGGACCGTTTTTAAAAATTCTTTCACTTTTCGAAAGCTACATTATCCACGAGTAACATAGGCAAAATTATATTTTGGAAAAAAACAGGGTTCCGTAAAATATATGTGATAATGTAGTCCACGCGCGCGAAGCCGCGGGCGAAAAGCTAGTCTTAAATAAATAGGAGAAGTTCAAACGACTCACCTGTTCCGGCGACGGCGGCGCCGGCGGCGGGCGGCTCTGCAGCGGCGGCGGCGGCGGCCTGCCGGCGGTACTACACTCGCGCGCGCTCAGTACCCGCGCCGGACGGCCAATTGCGCTAGTCAATCAGCCGCCCTGGTACTCACATGGGGGTACCCCGGTCTCTCGGGTATTATGGGGTAAATTCATAGTGCCTTCAGACAATAAATTGTATGCTCTTTGAGCGGAACATAGTGATACTACCTAATGTAACATGTCACCATTTTACCTATGATTCACAATAAATGATTTTGTATATGTATTTGTAATATTGTCTTTAAAGGTAAAGGTCACTGATTGACTTACTCACTCATGACGAAATCTCAGAAACTACAAGCTATAGTCTGGTCGCTGAGCACGTACAATTTTGTCCATTGACCCCAAGCTACCCACCCATCCTTATCGCTCGCGCGTAATTATATTGCTGTCGCGACTGTGCGACGGGCGCCCGCAGTGAGTGTGCGAGCGCGACAGCAATATAATTACGCGCGAGCGATAAGGATGGGTAGCTTGGGGTCAATGGACAAAATTCTACGTACTCAAAGACCCGGTCTTTGAGTACGTCTACGTACTCAAAGACTCGGTCTTTAGTCTTAAAATCGGTAAAACGGGATCCACGCGTACAAAGTCGCGGGCAGCCGCTAGTTTTTTTTATAAAATAAAGTTTGATAGTGTAAGTGTGTAACGCTAATAAGACTTCACTTTGGTCATCCAGTTGATATCACGCAAGTGAACAAAGTGGAATAAACCCACAAAGATAATAATATAAGGGAATATTGCATGTATGGAAACCTGTTCTACTTTTTTGTATGTAGCTGAGTTACATGAGCAATGATTTTTGCTTTAGTTTTATTATATTGTCAAAAGGCACACAACACATTACTTGTGTGTTTTGTCTCCTTTTGTCGAATTGGTTCAATGACAGATGGAGAAAAAACTGTTTTTTTTTGTTAGAGAGACTGAGGTACTTTTCAATTCATTCAAATATTCAAAAGATTTTCATAAATTACAAATAAACTTCAGTTGTGGAGTTGTTACGATAAAAATCTTACACTAGAACTATTAACTAAAACTTATTTCTATACAACATCTCGTATGACAATCATCATCTCTATGTACCTCAAAATAAGATTAAACAAAATGTAAATTAGAAAGGTAGGTACAAACTAATAACGAGGGTAGAATGAAATTGTCAAATTAGATGCGTCAATTTCCATCACAATTTCAAGGGCGCATGACATTTGACATACATATGCCAGCGGGCCTATTCCGTTTCATCTGGACGATTCTATCCATCCCTTTCACTCGAAAAGCATCTCAGAATGCGCGAAAGAGACTAATGGATCGAAAAATACACTGTGTTAGAGAATGGCCTTGCTAATGTGACGAAAGAGCCTACAGCTTGCATTGCCTGGACATTCTATCAATCCCTTTCACTCATAATATTTGGGTAGTTGACACCAATAGCCGATAATTCCAAGTCATCACTTCTTTGGAAATCACTTCAATCTAGCCTTGAAAGTCGAATTTGTTTTGGATTTGATTCTGGGATAACACCTTATAAAAAGTATGTCAATTAACTGTGGTTTCAAGTACCCAACAGAGTAAAGAATGCGTGAAAGAAAGACATATCCTTAAACACGTTATTAACACTGCATATGTGCGAAATAGAGACACATACGTGAACACAGATTTAACTACTAAATACGCGCGAAAGAGACAGACACATCCATAAGTACAGATTTTTAGCACAGAATACACACGAAAGAGATTTTTAGTACGGAATAGCCCTGCCCTGTCTATACAAGCTACGCACCTGGGTTTCTTCCACGCCGCGCTGTTGTTGTTATCGGCCGGCTTCTTGGCTTTGGTGGCGGGGGAGGGGGCGGGCGCGGGTGACGCGGGTGGATTGCTGTTGTTTAGACGGGAGCCCATTGATTTTACCTGGAAGAGATTGAGAAATTGAGATTCAATTGTTAGGTTTTTGGTTAAAGTCTGGTTCCCGAGCACGTAGAATTTTGTCCAATGACCCCAAGCTACCTATCCTTATCGCTCGCGAATCATTATATTGTTGTCGCCACTGTGCGACGGGCGGCAGCAGTGAGTGTGCGAGCGCAACAGCTATAAATTACGCGCGAGCGATAAGGATGGGTAGCTTAGGGTCATTGGACAAAATTTTAAGTGCTCGGGGACCAGACTTTAGCTAGGAAAACTTTATTATAAAGGAACAAAGAAATCGCATAACTTTGTGTCACAGAGGTGTAGCTAGGTAAACAAAAGCCTTTTTGTTGCATTTTATTTACATGTCGAAAATGAGTTATTTTCAACTCACTCGGATAATTTAATTACCAGTCTTGGCGACTGACAGCGACTCGTCAAGGGCATCGGAAGAAGCGAATAAAAGAGAAATATGCAAACACCAAGCTTCCTCAAGTTTGACTAAAGTGGTAAGTCAAATTAAATTCTCCCTTTAGACCTCTGATAAATTAGAGGGTCATCGTCCTCCAGTGGAGACTAAAGTCCGGTCGCCGCGCCGAGCATATAGAATTTAGTCCAATGACCCCAAGCTACCCATCCTTATCGCAATTATATCTGCTCGGCGACCGGACTTTACATCACCTGATGATAAATACATTTGTTTCTTGATTAAAGAATGTCCTATACTCACTCGCAGTTTGGCAGGCGGCGACTTGGGCGTGGGTTCGGGGCTGGCGCCTTTAGGCGGTTTTGGTTTAGGCGCGCGTTTGCCTTCGGGCACGGCCGGCGCTGATACGGGCGATTCTCCGCGACGCATCAATTTTGCGTCCCTGTAACAAATAACAAAAAAAATATAACCATTAGATGCACCATTAGAGGTAACCAGTGTCATTTTTTGTGTTAATTATTTTCTGCAATCAGACGCCTGACTTCGCACATGTGTTTATTCTTAAAAGAGCAGCTGGCCTATGCCATGCTGTTTTATTAAAACACGTGGTTTCTACTAAATCAGTCTTTTACTACTAAACTATTAAACGCAATAATCATCCTTTACAGGCTTTTGCTTAAAAACGACCAATACACTAGGGGACAAAATCAAAAATATTCATTCAGTTTAGAAAACAAGTGGCACTTATGAACGTCAAAATGTAAATAATAAAAAAAAGGTAGCCCTTATGGGGCACTTTACATGTCTCCTTATCTTTTGGGCCCTACCAGCGCTTCGAGACAAACATATGGCAAGTGCTGAGAAGAAACGCCGGAACACTCAACTCAACTTTGGATTGTTTTTTTCCGTAGAGCATCAAAACGAAACATTGGACACGTAGAATTTATTTGTCGCCTAGTGTATCCGTGGATTTAGTGTAACAATGTATTCGGACTTACCGTATGATTTCTTTCTCCGGGTCATCGACCCCTAATGGTTCCTTGAAGAACGAAAAGTTTTCTAATGTCAATCCAGTTCCTGATAACTGCTCTGACACCTGAAACAATAACAAAGAAAAAATTAAATTAAATACATACTTAGTAGTTACTACTACCCCTAAGTATAGTGTGACAAGTTGCATCTAAACGCCACAATCGCCTCAAACTGGTCCTCCGAGCCGGATAATTATCTCAACATTCCTAAATGTGGAAATTACGCTACATTTTGTCGTCCTTTAAGCCGGATAATTACCCTCACATTCCTAAATGTACGAGTTGCACTACATTATATGGTCCTTCGAGCCGGATAATGCACAACTGTAACTCAATGCTCCACTCCGACACTGCAGAACTCCTACAGCGGTGCTGGCGATGGTCACCAGCCGTACACCAGCTCGCGCTGATGGTCCTTCGAGCCGGATCACTCACCTCGCGGGTGGAGCGCAGCTTCTTGCCCTGCGGCGTGTAGTAGTATATGTCTGCGTTGCGGCGCGGTACACCAGCTCGCGCTGATGGTCCTTCGAGCCGGATCACTCACCTCGCGGGTGGAGCGCAGCTTCTTGCCCTGCGGCGTGTAGTAGTATATGTCTGCGTTGCGGCGCGGTACACCAGCTCGCGCTGATGGTCCTTCGAGCCGGATCACTCACCTCGCGGGTGGAGCGCAGCTTCTTGCCCTGCGGCGTGTAGTAGTATATGTCTGCGTTGCGGCGCGAGTGCGCGTCGAGTGCGGCGCGGTACACCAGCTCGCGCTTCCATCCTCGCTCCAGAGGCACCCGAAGCAGAGGCGATGACATCTCAATGGTGGCGCGCCGACCGCGGTTTAGGGGAGACGATGCTACCTGAGAAGTTAACAGCTTGTTTATAAACTTGATTGAGTTTATTTTATTTTTTTAATGGCCTCAATGATGCATATGTTTAAAGAGAAACAGTTTGTAAACTTGAACTTTGATCAAAATCTTCCACATCAACCATGCCTAAATGAGAGGTGCCTAAACTTGTTTTGTCATGGACCTTATGGCATGTTTTTCTATTATGGGTTGACTCTCCAATTGGAAGGTTCAAGATTGTTTGTTCGAGGAAATATATAAAATCATCCATCCCATTGATTATTTTAATTCAATATCAATGCCAGAACTATACATGTATTGTTTCCCAATTTTGGATAAACGGACATAAAATTTTATTGTACCGGAAATAAACATTGCATTTTCAAAGACAACATAAAAATTAACTATTTCTATATAGGATACTTACTTTTGGTCGGATAATAGTTTGTCTGTTGGCAAATGTACAGACCTAAGAAAAAAAGTAAAAGGCAAAGAGTGGAGTACAAATACAATTTTGATAGCCACGATAGCCGAACGGTGAAGGGGTCGGACTGGCCGACTCGTGATCCGGGGAACGCGGGTTCCGTCCCCGCCGCCGCTCGACTATTGTGGTGAGCTCACTCGTGACACAAGCATATTTAGCTTAGTACGAGGGGCTAACGGGGGTATTAGTAATTTGTGTAATAACAAATTACTAATAATCTTTTTAAAAAATGAAAAAAAAAAAAAAAAAAAATTATACAATAATACTTTAACACTATAAATATAGTGATAAAATAAAGTACTGATGATAACTTACTTCTGTGGAGACAGTCCCATCGCCGTCTGATCTTGATGATAAAGCAGATGAAGGTCTTGATCCATCTAAAACAAAAATTTTGTCAATACTCATTCCATAACAAAATTTTAAATCAGTGAAATATTTCTCTCAAAAGAAAAATATTTTACTCAGGGTCTGTCCCAAAACAATTTGGACTATGATGTTACGGGACTATTCCCACCTCTCGTTCCCACCACTGCAACTCCTGTGTAGCCAGGATCTACAGCTTGACCGCCACAAAAACCCAACCAATGAAGGTCAAGTTTGTCCCGGGGGAAAGTTAAACTGTCATTGGACCCACAACGAAATTAATCAGAAGAACATAGGAGGAGTTCGAAATTAAGGTTCGACTTCCCTCCATTGCAGACACATAGGTAGATAAGTTAATTATAGTATTATAATAAATTGTCCAGTGTAATAATGTAGTTCCTGGACTATGATGTTATGAGAACAGGAGAATAGGTCATAACTTCATCGTCCTTCCTAGTCATTCGATTCTAATTTGTATGAAGAATCGGCCGATATCAAATCGGTGTAATGTGCGTACTTTCTTAACAGCCCGACCCAACAATCAGCCAACTGAAAGTCGGTGGTCTGCGCCTAGGCTGTCTCCATTTGAGTATTTTTTTTGGTTCCACAAGAAAAATTTTATATCAGGAAAAAGATTAATAAAATAACTTTATTTCTCTCCCCCTCCCCATCCCTATATTTCATCTAGGGTTAGTCTAAAAACAATAATACAGACTATGATAAGACCTATTTCCTAGACAAATAATCTCTAATTTTTTTGCTTGCTGCAAATAATCAAACGGTACTGCATGGGATTTAATTATGAAAAAATTGTAAATGATAAATAACTTACCAGTGTCTTGTCTGGCTCGCTTTGATGCTCGGACTGGAGCAGGCGGTGTAGCCATCACATGCCTCACCGGCGTGAAGCTTTTGCTGGCTGCAGACACTTCTGCCTCCAGGCGTTCTGGAAATAATGTTAACGTCAGTTAAGAGGAGTGAAGTAAACAGCAAGTTGAATTAAAGAAAGAAAGAAAATAACTTTATTTTGACAACAAAGACATATACAAAAAAATAAACAAAGTTGCCAAAAAAGGTCACCCACTCAGTATTATCGCAGTATTAAATTGGTTTTTCAATTCAAAGAAAATGGCTAAGTTTATGGAAATTGTGATTCCAATGTAAATTTTATGTTAATCTATCTTTCTTTGAGTTTAGAAAATTAAAGAATTTAATATTAATAAATCTGCAGTAATTATTAGTCTAGAAAACAAGCACTTCAAGCTAATCATTGTGATAAATAGTTGGTAAGGTGCAATTTTGCAACAAAAATGTATAATATTGTATTAAGGGGCACACTGAAAACCAGGGTCGTGGCCTTCTTCACCGGGGGCCACGGCATATGCTGAGTGGGGTCCCATCCCATTGCAATGGGTATCGCTGTGCGAGAGGGTGGCACTGGTCAGTTTACTTTCTCTTCCATTGTATGTTTTATGTGTTACCTCTGTCTTGTTTGCTTTTTTTATTTACCTCTTTTTTCTTTTGTGATGTTCATGGCAATAAATGTTTCCTTCTTTTTTCTATTGTGTTATTTCAAAAATCAAGATTAACAATTAAACTCACCCAAAACGCTGTTATATCTGCTCAAGTCACTGCTGTACGGCAACTCAAAGCCAACAAACTCATCGTCACCGGCATCGCTGAATGCAATCGATGCTCTTCTCTTCAATCCTCGTTTCTGGTCTGCTTCCTTATCCACGTCCATGTCTTGTCTGTCTCCAGCAGCATCGTTCTGATCGGCTGGTGCATCATTCGGCGCTTGATCTGACTCCTGAGCGTCATCGTTAGGTTTTTCATCCTTGATGTCAAGTTGTTCATTTTTTATATCTGGTTTTTCTCCGTTAACGTCAGGTATTTCGTCGTTAATGTCAGGCTTTTCATCTTTAATGTCAGCTTTTTCACCGTTAACGTCAGATTGTTCTTCTTTGACATCAGGTTTTTCGTCAAGTTCTTGCTTAGAGTCAGCCTCGTCCACTGCATCTGTAAGTAAATTGAAATTAGTATTTGATTTTGTAGAAAGTTGCATGAACAATATCAGTTAAACACGGTTACTTGTTAATCTGCACAGTCATTTGCATTTGTAACGGTACAAATTAGCACAAGTAAATTAAAAATACCAACAATCAGAAATGTTCTCCCAAAGTCGGAATATCTCACCTAATTAACACATCATATCTAGGCTAACAAGAATCACCAAAGTTTAGAAAATATGTTTGATTTTATATGCATAGCAGAGCTGTAGTAATTATCTAAACTAATTTAGTATCTACAACTCAATAATACACAGTAAGTACATCATAGTATAAGTAACTGTGATAAAATACCATGCATTTAATCATATCATTCGGTAAGCAATTAGAATATTTACAAACATAGATAAAGCCTAACAAATTACTACAGAAATCACAATAGGTATGTAACATAACATAAAATAATAGAAACAAATGGTCTTGATTATATGTATAATTTTCTTACCAATTTATTATCTCTAAATGCATACCAAAGGTTAAGCATCCCACCCATGTAAAGACCACACCCCAGAATCATAAAAACATAGCAAATAGATTAATGCACACCATTACAAAAAGAACACCATTAAATACATAACAAACAACGGCTCAAAAACTGAACTCCGACAAACGTTACTTCGACATTACGTTACTCTGACACTACTGAATATCGACATGACTTTACTTCGACACTACACTACTTAGACAAAGGCGAATATCCTTTGTCGGAGTAGTGTAGTGTCGAAGTAAAGTCATGTCGATATTCAGAAATGTCGGAGTAACGTAATGTCGAAGTAAAGTTTGTCGGAGTTTACTTAGGTAGCCCAAACAACAATATAATATAAAGCTGGGTCTCCAGCGCATGTTTTGCAATACACAATCAATAAAAAAACATTCAACATTTTTGTAGGCAATATTGTTGAATGTTGACTTGTTTTTATTGATTGTGTAGGGCAAACAAAACATGCGCTGTAGACGGGTCATTCCATGACAAATGTTACCGAGGGTGAAAAACTAAATATGTTCTTTTCGCATTAAATCTGATGAATTTTGAAAGTAAACATTCCAAATTATAATGTGCAACAAAAAAAATCTGAAAGAAACAAGTAATTTTTAAATTATTAGTCTTCAAAGTCTATACTTAAGTCAACTGTCTGAATGATCATTTTCTCTCTAATTATTGGTAATACGATTTTAAAAAAACTATCAATCTGTGAAACGTTTTGCCACTATATGATTCGAGGGTATTTATCATGGTATTGGTGGAAAGCATCATAGTCCCAAAAAAATGGATAATCATCAAGTTTTAAGTGTGTTTTCTTGTTACTTCGGCGATGTAACACCCGAAACAGAAAAACAGGTATTTGTTTTATTATTGTACCTTACACATGGATTAGGGTAACAATATTTGGTAAAAGTAAGGTCATGGTAGTAATGATTTCAAATAGTAACTAATATCTGAGCATGATACTAATTTAGTATGTTTCTTTCTTGATTAAAAACTGTAACACCCGAAACGTTTCGGGTATTACATTTTTATTTATATGTCGATAATGTGTGTATATTGCTTGGAGAAGTGAAAAAGTATTACTGTGAGGGTCCTTTGACCTCCCACTAGCGCTGGCATCGGAAAAGGAGTCATATTTCTCAATTTAAGACTTTTTTGAAATGTCGACTTAACACTAAAATTAAGGTATTGCTAAAAAGTGTCGATGTTTGACATTTCCAATAAATATCGTAATTAGAAATTAAAGTAATGCTATTTCAAGCCAAAAACAATAGAAAAAGCTATATTCTGAGGAAAAATTAAACTTGAACTTTGTATATTTTTTAAAAAAAGCTGCTTCGTAATTTCAAACCAGAATTCGCTCTATTTGTGTTTATTTGTTGTACTCCTTATTTTGTAGTACCTAGAGACTAATAAAACACCGATTTTATCGATAAAACGAGTTGAATTTTCGTACTCGTAACACCCGAAACAGAACCATTGTAACACCCGAAACAAAGAAAAAAATTATAAAAAAATAGTAAAACGTTTTATTTAACAGTGATTGTATGTTACATGGTTTGTAAATGTCATACTTTAGAAGTCTTGTAAGTTTTAGGTATGATTCCTTAAGAAAATTCGCTAAATTTCGAGTAAATGCAGCAACAGTCAGAACATAGAGGCAAAATCTCGTAACGCCCGAAACGCACACTTTTCGAATCATATTTTCGTTATCCTACATTCTAAGCTGTACAAACTTTATTATTAAGATAAAACAACTAAAAACGGACAGATTAAGGCACTAACAATATTAAAATACTATTTCAAAATACATGAAATTGTTGAATATGTGTGTACAAACGTAACACCCGAAACGATGGAATGACCCAGACCCAGCTTTAGTTACACATTCAGTAGATTTATTTATAAATGTTAGCTTTCATGGGTTCAGAAATCAAATATCAAGTACAAAAATACAATGTTTGAAGAAAACCAGCATATTTAAAGTTCTTTAAGCCTATAACTACCTTCAGAAACAGTTTAATTTCAGTTTATTGCTGCAAACAATTACTCATTCTATCTTTAACATCTCTTTAAAAAATAAAATTATCCAAAAGTTTATGACTTTTTAGAATATTCCAAGCTCTTGCGTTTAACAAACATGTCACTTACAATACAAGTTAGATTAGCTTATTCAAGTATGGAATGATTTTAAAATTCAATCGGGTATATGAACTGACTGCCGATATGATCAATAAATAAAATTTTGTTAAATGCATTGATGAATAAATACAACTTTAACATATTTTATTCAATTTGTATTGTTATTGACCCAATTCATTAATTTAAAATGAACTGCGAGGACATGCCAAAATTTTTGTTCTTCAGCAAAAATGGTGCAGACAAAGCAAAATTTCAATTAAAATGGTGAAAAAAGAAGTATTAGAGAAAGTAGTGTCAATTAAAATGTTGTTTTAATATTTTAAATGCCAATACGAGGAAATATTACATAATAATTTAAATAGCGGAAACACCGGAAATCTCAATACTCAAATAATACAATTTTATATTATGAAGTGCCAGCTTTGGCAACGTACATAAATAAGAGGCAAGATACAGTAATGCAATAGATTGTTTTATATTAGAGATGAAACGGATATCCGGTAACTATCCGGTAGGCCGGATATCCGGCCTAAATTTACTATCCGGCCGGATACCGGATATTAACTCACTATCCGGCCGGATACCGGATATTAAAAAACTACGACAATTTTCTTTAATAAAATGAAATACATTAATCTTTGAGGTAAAATATCAATAAAAAGGCTTATAATAGTTAAAGTCCAAAAAGTTACAAAAAAGCCATATTAATTAAGACCTTTCATAAAACTAATTTCTTTTTCTGGGCTATTCACTCTAATGACGAATACTAAATAAATAAATATCTGTTAATGTCGAAATATAGCCAATTAAAATAGGCGATCTTTTTTTCACTAATGGTCTGATGAAATGGTGCAGTTCAGTCAGATAACACAGCAAGTAAACTGATTTAATTTTCTCTATTCAACCACACACTCACGATTGCAACCGGAATCGCCCGAATCGATCTGCCCCCTAGACAAGTGGCAAAATCTGACATTCTATTCGGACGGATTCGATTTTCGAAAAGTGTGACTTGTTTGATCTACTAGACCCACTGATCGCGTTCGAAGCACCTGTCCGGCGCTAAACTCGTCACGACATAAAACGAGACAATGGGCCAACTATCCGGCCGCCGGATATCCGGCTATCCGGCCTAGCAGCTCGCCGGATATCCGGTATCCGGTATCCGGCCAAACCACTATCCGTTTCATCTCTATTTTATATTCTCAAAGACAAGTGACATAAATTATGATTCCTCAAGAGACCATTTTGATGTTGTTTTAATAAAAAAATCTTATTAGTACGTGTCAATCTTCATGCAATTGGTTAAATACACACAATAGAAATTAATCACCATTAAAAATGAGCGTAGATGTGCATGCAATGGAAACTAAGTATGTCATCAAATTGGCTTAGAGGTTATGTGAAAGTTGCATTACCTTTTGCCGATTCCTCGGCTGGTTTGTCCTCTGCTGGGGGCTCCTCTGGCTCGGGCGGAGCCTCTGACGGTGGCGCCTCGGCCTCCACGGCGCTCGCAGCCTCAGCTTCGTCGCCGTTCACCTTAGCATCATCGCTCGAAACGTTATCACCCAACGCCATTTCTTCCGACATTGTCAAATATCAGAAAATATTGAGATCCACTGTCAAAGCCTAAATGACCACATAACAAGGCGGTTATGAAACTACGGCAGCCCTCGCGACGAATTATCAGCTTTGTGCGCGTCACTACGTAGATTTCCCGCTATATTGGTTCAGAAAAACTTTGACGCTGTTTGCGTTCGCTTCGCACTTGAAACCACTTTTTCAGAACTGGATCACAACTGAGAGTGGTGATCTAACAAATCCACATGAAATCTTAACAAAATACACACGAAATCGCGTGAGTTTTACGAAATTTACATCCACAAAACTAATTTCCAAAAGAAAATGTCGATCATAAACAACATCCGCTCCGTGCACGACGCTACACTCGTTTGTCTATGGAAATTCTCTATTGCTTTCGATGTTCACGGCGCGAAATTTTGATTTTAGACTTATGAATGCTTTATTATAAATTAGTTATATAATTTAAATTATTATAAAACATTAATTTTTATAATTATTAATTAATGAAATGCTTGAATAAATTCTAAAGGTCTCTGAATCATAATAATACCTAAATCACGGTTAATATTTTTTGAAAACCATAAATCGTTTCCAGTTATGTGACTTGTTACTTTTCACAGCTCCTATAAATACGTTTAGAGGTCATGTGAAATTATCAAATTATCGATCTGATAATCGAGGAAAGTTTTGAGGAGAGGGCTGGAGAGGGCAGAGGAGACCACTAAAAAATAATCACTAAATACTTTTTATGAACAAAATAGGTACAGTGTGCCACAGTTCCAGCATGGTTCCAGCTACCCATTTCCGTTTTTTCTCTCGCTCTCATCAAATGGCGATTCCACCAATTCCACATTCTTTACGATAGAACGAGACCATAATATGACCGGAAATGGTAGCTGGAACTGTGGCCCATACATGGGCAAGCTTAATTTACTTTAACTGGGCTTTTTAGCACTTTATTCCCTTGTCGACAAATAGTCACCATACTATTTCCGCACTTAGCCTGCTGATTGTGCCATTGTACAATGATTCTCTTCATAATCCAACCATCATTCCAAGCCAATAGATCGTTTCATCCACGAAGACGAGCCTCGTGATAACAGCGTTGAAATTGGATATTATTATTATCCATGAGTGCTAGGATCAAACTCCTTGCACCCCGCGCTTCCTTCGACCAAAAATTGGTGGGGCGCGTCTTCGTGGATGAACCGATCTATACCAGCTTTCCAGTAGCTATGTAATGATGAATGTGACTGGTAGAAGTTAATTAGTTTTATCATAAAGTTGATATACCTAGGAACAACGTGGAGGTTGCGATCATAGGAACAACAGGTGGGATTAGTTCTTACAGAATAAAACAAAATTAAGGCACATAACTTCATTTATTTTTGCCGCGTCCCCCTTTCGGTTTTCCGAACACCTTTTTCGCCTTAACATTCGCGGGTTTGCCGGGTCCTTTAGGTCCTTTGGCGGGTCCCTTGGGTTTCTTGCCGAACTTTTTGGCCTGTGGTCCTTTGCCCTTCTGAATGACATTAGCATCGTATCGGAGGCGCTTGGTGGCGGAGCGCGAGGTGTCTGTTAGGTCGTTGGCGAAATTGCTGCGTTTCTTGTTTTGTTTTTTGCTGTGCGCCGGCGCCGGTCGGTCGTCGTCATCGTCTACGGCTCGGATGCGGCGGGTCTTCTTCTTGCGTTTCGCCATGCGAGATTGGAGGAGTGCGACCTGGAATGAGTTACAATAAATAAATATCTTGGACATTTACACCGCGCCTCTAGTCCCAAACTAAGCAAAGTCTGTCCTATGGGTACTAAAACAGATATAAATATACTCAAATACTTTTTATACGAAGTTATGTTATAAGTTAGGGAGTTTATACAGGGTGGAAACGTAAGTGATCTCGCTCGATTATTTCTAAACTATACAAGATATCGAAAAACTGGTTACAGATCCTGAAAGTGCTTTCAGCTGCTATATCAAACCTCAAACGGTGTTAATAATAGATTACAAAATAAACTGGATCTATTCAAAAGAAATTATTGTCTCATCTAAGGCCTGGTTCAGACACGCGCGACAACGGCACGGTTTCTATGTGATTCTCATTGTGAGGCGGTAGCCGTGCGGAACCACGCCTAAAAAATTATTATTGTGTCGCATACTTTAAGAACAGTCGCCAGCCTCTCAGAGTGTAACATTTTTGTCGCAAATTAGCTTTTATTACAACTGCACGAGACCTTCTTCATTTATCTCTATGCACGCGCTCCTAGGCGTGACCTTGTACAGTCGATGTTATAGTTTGTCATGTAACTACAACACTTTTGTTGCAAATTAGACTTTATTACATTCGCATAAGACCTACCTTCTCCATCTCTCTCTGCACGCGCTCTTCAGGCGTGTCCTTGGGCTTGTGCTTGGTCTGTCGCTTCTTCTTGGGCGTAACTTCGGGCTCGTCGTCCGAATCGTCGCGCTTGCGCTTCTTGCCTTTGCCTTTCTGTTTGTCTGCTTTTAAAAAAAGAACACAATTTCATTAATTTGTTTCTTCAATATTAGGCCAGTAGAATAAATCAAGTCCCTACAAAAGGTTTGATTTAATAACTTAATTTGCTGCCCAATAATGACTATCCTAAGTTCAACCCCCAGTCGGAGTTGTGCAAGAATTTGCCACAAAGGATGCGTTCTGCGTCAGGAATATTTCTTCTGTTTAAGATTTTAAACTTTCGCGTTCCATTTCAACTAAAATAGTATACGGGTCTTAACGCGACGTTTGTTAATGAGTCACATTATGTACTCACGGCTTAACCATGTAACTCATTTCGTAAGTTCGTGTCTTCCTATTTTAATTTCTTCGGTTTTACGGCTATATCTAAAACTGTACTGCATATCAGCTGTATGCCATTTAATCCTGCATAGAATAAAACTAAATTGGACTACCCTTTTCATGGTTCAGCAAATTAAACGTATTTTTCATAGTTATTTTGTTACTCACCAGTTTTACCCGGGTGCTTAGTAAGCGCCAATCGTTCCTTCTCTTCTCTCTTCTCTTTAGGAGTTTGGAACCACTCGTGTTGCCTCGTGGTCTCGTACTTGGGTCCCTCCTCTTTGGCCAGCTTGCCTTCCAACTTGGAGGTCTGTTTCTCCATTTTGTTGAGCTGTTTTTCGGCATATTCTTCGTCGAGGATTGCGGCTGATGGGGAAATTTTGTGTTTAGTGGATTTCAATGGGAGGTTACTTCGAAATTTTAAACGGAAAGAAAATATTATATTCTTAAGTTTCATATTAAATTGATTTTAAAGATCCGTATGTAAAACACAATTCATCATCATCATCATCACCATTTCAGCCATAGGACGTACACTGCTGAACATAGTCCTCCCTTGTCCACCCACAAGGTGGACCGAGGAACTGATAAAGGTAGCAGGAAGGCGCTGGATGCAGGCCGCTACCAACCGTGTGATGTGTTGGATTCTTTACATGTCTTAGGCTGGGTTGCACCATCTAACTTTAAATTTGACAAACGTCAAAAATCTGTCAAACTCCGTACAAAAAACATGGGTTATCGTCATAGTTACTGTCAAATTTAGGTCGTGCAACTCAGCCTTATTTTCACACACTGCAATATTACTCTTATTTACACTTAATATAAGTGCAAAATTAAATTCGCTATTAAATTAGTTTAATTTGATTTTAATCATGTCACCTTACAGAAGTACGAGCTACGTCAACACATACTTATCTCTGGCTCCAACTTGGCCAGCTTGTCTCTGTACTTGGCGACGATGTCGTGCGGTACTTGGCGCGACTTGACCGGTTTCTTGGCGCGTTTCACTATGGCCTTCACCAGGTTTCTCTCGCCCTCGCCCGCTAGAGACACTGACACACCGGCGCGGCCCGCTCTGGCTGTTCTACCCACCTGAGGAAAGAATAGTATTTTATTTTACAGGTCTAGCGCTTAATTGAATCAGCTCACGCATAATTATATTGCTGTCGCCCGTCGCAGAGTCGCGACAGCAATATAATTACGCGCGAACGATAAGGATGGGTAGCTTGGAGTCATTGGACGAAATTTTATCTGCTCGGCGACCGGACTTCAAAATGTAAATTTTGTTTGTCTTTAAAATTTCGTAGATTTCTAAGTCGGACACTAAAGTTTTTGACTCGACTTGAGGAAGTTGAGGATTGTCCACTCCACGGTCAATCCCAACTAATATTATAAATGCGAAAGTAACTCTGTCTGTCTGTCTGTCTGTCTGTCTGTCTGTCTGTCTGTCTGTCTGTCTGTCTGTCTGTTACGCTTTCCCGCTTAAACCTCGCAACCGATTTTGATGAAATTTGGCATAGAGATAGTTTGAGTCCCGGGAAAGAACATAGGATAGTTTTTATCCCGGTTTTTGAAACAGGGACGCGCGCGATAAAGTTTTTCTGTGACAGACAAAATTCCACGCGGGCGAAGCCGCGGGCGGAAAGCTAGTTTTTTAATATCATAAACTAAGAAATAGAAGTAGTAGAAGATTTTTATGTCGGTAAACTATACACTTAGAGCTTTTGACTTAAGGTCCTATGTACCCTGGGAGCAGAGGGCGTCCACAACACACCTTCATCGCGTTCGGTCTTGAGCTTCGCGTTTTATCTCGCTCTCCGTGTAGTTCTGCTAACTGTAATAAATTTGTACGTGTCTGCACGTGCATGCTAACGTACCCTGTGGATATAATGCTCGAGCGTGGCGGGCAGCGTGAAGTTGAGCACGGTCTTGACACCGGGAATGTCTAGACCTCTCGCCGCGACGTCGGTGGCGACTAATACGTCCACAAAGACGGAGCAAAGCGGAGCGGAGAAGTGTTTTAAATACTTATCTTCTCCGCTACACACAGCTCCGCTTCACGCCGCGCCACGGTCGCTGTCAAATTCTATAGAAAAATTCTTCCACCCCACACATTTCCTCTCTTCTCTGCTCCGTTCTGTTTTAGTAGAAACCGAGCCTTAATGCGTGGTGTATGTGTGATGTCTAAACATGCTTACCCTGTGGATATAATGTTCGAGCGTGGCGGGCAGCGTAAAGTTAAGCACTAGCTCGTGTTTGAAACGCTTCAGCGAGTCTAAACAAGCCTGGTCCGTGAGCACGTAGAATCCCGTCCAATGACCCCAAGCTGCCCATCCTTGTCGCTCGCACGTAATTATGTTGCTGTCGCGCTCGCACACTCACTGCGGGCGCGCATCGCACAATCGCGACAGCAATATAATTACGCGCGAGCGATAAGGACGGGTAGCTAAGGGTCATTGGACAAAATTCTACGTGCTCACGGACCGGGCTTTAGACGCTGTGGCTGTGTTAGGGCTCCGTGTAGCTCTGCCACCTGGAATAAT